TAACTCACAATCAGTCTGCTTTGAGCATAAGAAACTGAATGGAAAAGAACAACTTGCTGGCTAAGGAATGTTCCTCCTAGGTTGTATGCCTGAGGTTGGAATGAATCTCAAGAAGGTCGTCTGTGACCTTTTTTTCTTTTAAGATTTTATTTATTTGACAGAGACACAGCAAGAGAGAGAACACAAGCAGGGAGAGCGGGAGAGGAAGAGGGAGAAGTAGGCCTCCCGCTGAGCAGGGAACCCGATGCGGGGCTCGATCCCAGGACCCTGGGATCATGACCTGAGCCGAAGGCAGACACTTAACCATCTGAGCCACCCAGGCGCCTCCGTCTGTGACCTTATAATGTCCTCTGCCATTCTCCCTCCTATGAATGAGGCAAACTTGTCAAAATACAAAAGGTGCCTTAGAGTCATCTCCATCATCAAGTCAATGTTTCCACAGAAGAGGCAATGCTGCCCAGTGGAATGAGCACTGGACTGGGAATCCAGTAATCTGAATTAAACCTGGCTTTCCCCTTGCATTGCCAAGTGACCTTGTCAAGGTCATCACACTCTTTAGGGCCTCAGTACAAAGCACCTGCCTAAAAGAAATCAAAAGCCACTTCCTGATCTAAGATGCAAGAATTTTTCTTTTCTCCTAATATTTCAGGGTGTCAAGAGAACAGTGTTTGGGGCACCTGGGTGGCTCAGTCTAATGTCCAACTCTTGATTTCAATTCAAGACATGATCTCAGGGTGGTGAGATTGAGCCTCATACTGGGCTCCATGCTGAGCGTGGAGTCTACCTAAGATTCTTTCTCTCTCTTTGAGTGTCTGACTCTTGATGTTGGCTCTGATTGTGATCTAAGGGTCATGGGACTGAGCCTCATGTCAGCTCTACGCTCAGTGTGGAGTCTGCTTGAGATTCTCTTTCCTTCTCCCTCTACTCCCACCATGCTCTCTCTCTAAATGAATAAAATCTTAAAAAAAAAAAAAAAAAGATTCTCTCTCCCTCTCCCCTCCCCTATCCCCCCTCACGCATTCACTCTCTCAAGAAAGAATGAATCCAGTATTTAAGAGTACGGGTTCCGCAAATTTTGTAAGAATTAAGAGTTATAGGGGAGCGTGGGTGGCTGCATCGGTTAAGCGTCTGCCTTCGGCTCAGGTCATGGTCTCAGGGTCCTGGGATCAAGCCCCACAACCGGCTCCCTGCTTCTCCCTCTCCCTCTGATGCTCTCCCTGCTTGCACTCTCTCTCTCACGCTCTGTCTCTCAAATAAATAAATAAAATATTAAAAAAAGAAAAAAGAGTTATAGACCTATGCTTGAATCTGGGCTCTGCCACCTTATGTGACCTTCAGCAAATTACTTAACTCCTCAGTTTCTTCACACCTAACAATGCAGGTGGTAGTAGGATCGGATCTACCACATAGCGAGGCAGATAATATGCATAATACATTTATACCCTAGCTGGTACAATGTAATCACTCAATAAAAAGTAGTAACTATAATATCATTCCTGAGCTTGATTCATAGATTTTTAGTGGTTCAGCATCTCTGAACTAAGAGATGTGAATTTCAAAATTGTCTCAAAAAGACAACTAGCACCAACCCGCATTTCACTTTGCCTCTACTTCTCTTTAAGTGGGCATAAGAAACCCTGTATCTTTTCTAGTATAATGAATCAATTTTGACCAAATGGAAAATATGTACGCATAAATGAGATAACAGAATTGTTACAAGGATTTAGAGAACAAAACATGGACATAGTCTGTTAAACACTAAACATTAGTATGAGTCTACTTAGAAGGCAAAGTTGATGTTCTCAAGTTTTTAACATAAACTCAGACCTACTCAGACCTCCTGGGAGTTCAAGATTTCTAGGGTGGTCAATTCCAGATGATAACAAGGCCCAGCAACTGGCCATGGGTGTAAGGAGCTAAAAGGAATGAAGGTGATCACTGGTGTTGAAGAACAGATAGTTAAGAAATGTTTGCTGAATAAAAAGCAAATATGTGTACGCTTGTTTTTGCAACCTTGTCTAGATTTACTAAAAAAGAAACTAAATTATGGATGCCATAACATTCCTCATATTCTGCTAACTTATGACTGAGTCAAACAAAGGTTAGATGACCAATGTACAAAATGCATGGCAAGCCCTATTTCCCCTTGTTCTTTTGACTCTATCTTCCACACTGCAATGTAATTGCAAATAAAAAGGAGGAGACCTTCACCTAATTGTATCAAGTCACAAAGCAACTCAGACTTCCAATTCACTGGTCTCCCCTCCAAACCTGAGTTATTTAAAGATTTTCATGCAAATACTAGAACTGCAAATAATTTTTTGTATCCAGTTTCAATTTTACACATCATTTAAGATAAGCATATACTAGATTCACTATCCCACAGTTTGAAGAAGGCACTAGGCTTCTGGACAGGTCCCAGTGTTTGGAGACAAACATCTTAAAGAAGTAGTGATATTTGAAAAAGCTCCCAAGTGAGTTCTTTATACACTTGGTAGTTCCTCATTCCTTGGCATTAATCACTTGCATATAGAGAGACTACGTCATCAATTTTCTTAAGTCTGATTTTAAAGAATGAGATTCTTAAACTTTCTGTACATGTTTTTCCCTATTATCTACCTGGCTTCATAAAAACTCCAACAGTTTACTTTGTAAATCTTTCTCTACACAATAGAAAACAAGAGCTATGATTTAAATACCTAGTTGAAGAACCTATATTCTATATGGTTCCTATTCTGTGGTCTGAATCTTTGAAACAGTACAAATTCTTATTATATTCTCCCCACTCAATACACTCCTAACACCCAGCAATCAAAGAAAGATGACCCATTTTGAAATGTAACACTACCTGGCAGTTTGACTAGTCAGGTTTATACTGATAGCATGATATAGCAGTAAAACTACAGGCTTTGGCATCAGACAACTTGGATTTGAATTCCAGTTCAACCACTGAGTGACACTGGACAAGCTACATAACCTCTGTGATCCTCAATTTTCTCATCTCCAATATGGGAATGATAATGCCTACCTAACAGTAAATATGCCCCAAAATGTCAATTCCCTTCCTCTACTACATTCCTTTTCTCTCTTGAAAATTTTGTTGCATTCACATAAAGCTGACCAAATTTGAAAACCAGAGAAGTTTCTTGAAATTGGAACGATAAAAACAGATGTATAACAACTATCTAAAGCTAGAAAGGACCACATAACACAGACAAGGAAAAAAAAGTTAGGAAACACAGAGGTTTAACACAAATGTGTTTCCATGATCCCCAAACCTTGGGAAGAGCAAATATAGAACAATTCATTACAATAAAATGGAAAGTGATAAAATACCCTCAAGCTGACTCTAACAACTCTTGACTAGAACGAAAGTTTTCTGAAATACAAACCAGAAAGTGTTGACAAGTTCTGTAACTCATGACAAGATGCAAGAAACTATACACTAGTTTATTCTCCTTCCAAGCTGATAAAAAAAAAAAATTAAGTGCACATGAGGGTGGGTGTACTTTTTAGGCATATATAAAAGAAAACAAATAAGCCAGGTCCAGGATTTCTGTTAAGCTCTCTTCCACTAAAGAGGAACGTGACAATATCTATTCAACAAATAAATGCCAAGTATCTAAAACCTGCTAGCACATGTAGCTTTAGAAACTCAGCCCTGACATGTATCCTTCCTAATGCAGGAAAACTTCATATACATCTCAAAATTAGCTGCATGGTCCTGAGACCCAATAATCTATAATTGCTCCCTTACTATAATTCCCAAGTCTGAAAATGTTCCCCCAAATGCTTCACACTTCCTCATTCCTATAGATCTGTCACTACTTAATGCTGTCCCTCTTAGGCTTGGCATTGTTTCTAGGACCCGGCACGTTCGTCCAATAGGACCCCTCTCTCACGCTGGTTGTTTGTTTTCCCCTGATATCACATCCCAGATCTGGTAACTGAAACCTCGGTTTCAATGCTGGCACTCTCCAGCAAAATCCCAATCTGATCCTATCGCTTAGATAGGTCCCTAACGCCCTGGTGACCCTTCCTCCTATACCATGCCCTCAGACCTGGCATCCGTGGACATCGAGGTCACTCACAAACTGTGTTAAACTCTATCTTAACTATAGAAAACAAACTGATACTTATCAGAGGGGAGGCAGGTCAGACGATGGCTGAAATAGGTGATGGGGATTAAGGAATACACTTGTCGGGATGAGCACTAGGTGATGTATGGAATTGCTGAGTCACTACAATGTACACCTGAAACTAAAGTAACACTGTATGTTAACTATGCTGGATAAAAAGCAAAAACAAAACAAAACAAAACAAAAAGACCTTCCAAGTCTAGCTCTCTTGGCTCTCGAAGACCCTCTCAGCCCCTAACTCAGGTTTCAGGGTTTCCAAGCCTGGCACCCTTGGGGCTTGTACGCCCTTATACTAGGCCACGCATGTTCCATGGAGGATACCTCTGGAGTTAGGAGTGTCACCCACTCCGGACCGTGCACAGGCTATCCTCGAAGTACCTGCCAGACCATAACCCTGTCTTCCCCCTTAAGGTCTCTAGGCTCGCCCCCAGCCTCCACCCCACGCCTGCACCGAAGGGGGTCACCACCCTGCGGCCCCAAGCCGCAGAGGCGCGCATCCCTGCAGCCTCCCATTCCTTCATCACCCCCCAGGCCGGAGCCAGCGCGACCAATAAGGTGCCAGGTCCGCGGCCTCCCCGCCACCGACCAATCACGAGCGAGCCCCCCCGCAGTCGCCTTCCGCCAATGGGAGAAAGCCCGCGGGCCGGGCCGACGAGGCGCACGGACCCCAGGAGCGCGACAGCGGCGACAGCGGCGGGCCCGGCGAGAACACAACATGGCGGCGGGCAGGCCGGACCGAACTACAGCGGCGGCCGCGAGAGGGAAGTGAGGTCTCCGCCGAAGGCGGGAAGCGCTGCCCCTCCCCCCGCCGCCGCCGCTCGCCTCTCACCCTCCCTCCCACAGACGCTCCCGCACACTCACACGCCTCCGCTCAGGAGTCCAGGGAAGAGCAGGAGCCGCCTCCGCGCTCCTGCGGAGTCGGGCAATGCAGAGGCCTGGGCACGGCGGAGGGGAGGGGGAAGCGTGCGTCACGGAGAACGGAGCGCGCGCAAAGCGGGGGCACAAACAAGATGGCGGCCACGCCGTTTGCACCGTCTCCCCCCTTCCCCTCCCCCTCCCTTGGCGCCTTGATTCCCTGTATCTTGTAATGCGCAGGAGCTGAGTTTTTTGAAGTCTCGCGAGAATTAAGAAGGGGCGACGACCTGGGGAGGAGGAATGAGATCAGAGAGCCTTCTGACCCCACCCCTTTCTAGAGGATCCGGAGGCGTTGCCTGGTGACCTCCACAGGGCGTTCTACGCTTGTGCGCCTTTGATGTGGTGCGCGCACTTGAATGTTAAAATACATTTTTTGGGTTTTCGGGTTTTTTTTAATTTGGGAGGAAAGAGAGCTGGGGGACGAAGGACGACATGGGGTTGCTAGATTACGTGCGCCCCTAAAGAAGATAGTTACCAGGGGGCGCCTGGGTGGCTCAGTTGGTTAAGCGACTGCCTTCGGCTCGGGTCATGATCCTAGAGTCCCGGGATCGAGTCCCGCATCGGGCTCCCTGCTCAGCAGGGAGTCTGCTTCTCCTTCTGACCTTCCTCCCTCTCATGCTCTCTGTCTCTCATTCTCTCTCTCTCAAATAAATAAATAAAATCTTAAAAAAAAAGAAAAAAGAAGAAGAAGATAGTTACCAGTACCATAAAAGGGGATTTACACCAAAACTGTAAAATTATATACTCCGGAGTAAAGAACAGCACCTCCCAAGAATTATTAGCGTGTAACCTTACGTCGACATAGACACTGCTTTTCTCATTTGAATGCAGTTTAAAACTTCCATCAAGACAATTGAAAACCCCATGAGCATTACGTCTCTTTCATACCTTATCTCTTTGATCTCTACAACTAATTGGTCCCGAGGCATTAGTGTTTCTGTTACAGATAAAACTGATGCTCAAAAGGGTTAAGTAACTCGATCAAAGTCCCACAGCTTGCAAGTGTCAAAATTCAATTTGAGTAGCTCCAAAAGCTGTGGCTGAATTATCTACATTGAGCCAATGGGTTAGATGTAAGCACTGAGAGAGATGAAACTGCTCTTGCTGGTGGTTCCCTTGAATTTTATAAATGACCTTGGAGCTTTTTGGAGACTTGGGTTGCAGGAGTCTTCAACAATATAATCAACACTATTATTATTTCTTTCCTTTGAGTGTATGACTCTGATGATAAAGGTGTTAAGAATACTGGAATAGCCCTTGACATGAATTCAGGAAAACTGTTTCCAAATCCAACCTGAATAAGTCTCACTTCAGGCACTCAAATATTTGGTGAATGAATGAACAAAACCTAACTAGCTATAAGACACCTGACTTCACTGAGTCTTGATTTCATCATCTGTAAAATGATCTATTTCCTACCTCCTGGGAGTGTTGGGGACATTGAATGAAATAGTGTAAAGGAGAGTGCCTTGGAAATTGCAGAAGTGCCAAAGAAGTTAGTGATAATTATGACATTTTCAGACATGAGAAATGGCATAAAAAATTCAAAACAGACACAAATAGTATGTTAAAATAGTAGACAGATGAGCTTAGCTAATGGGAAAAAGCTAAGTGAGTCTAAAATATTGAGTTAATTATTGCATATGTTTTGTTACAAAAGATGTAAAAATGTGTAGGAATCAGCATGAATTAGTATTATTAGATATTACTGTTATAGTTAAGTATCGACGGCACATAGGGGCTGCAGTCAGTTTCCCTCTAAGAGCCTGGAAATCAGGTTGCCTTCAGAATTAAACTAATAAGAATTTACATAGAGAAAATCAGCCAAAGGTGATCATAAACATATTTAACAAGTAGTGCTGAAGCATTTATCTAGCAGATTTGAAGTCCATGAAGTTGTGGATATATCTTTCTGTGCTAGGTATTAACCCTTTAGTTGCTAAGGCATGAAGAGTAGGTCCCAAGGGCTCCCAGGGGAGGGGAGTTGTCAGGAAGCTTGGGGTAGCAGGTATTTATCAGCTAGTATGAAACTATTTCAATATTTTAATAGTTAATATTATAACGTACCAGTCATACTGGTACACACAGACTGAATATTAGTCCTTGCTATAGACTATTAACAATATTCTCTGCCCCTGCCTTTCTAAATCCCTGCCTATCTAGTCTGTCCCTAGGAGATTATACTTCTCACCCTAATGTCATCAAGCTTGGCATTGTTTTGGTCAATGAAATGTGAGTAGAAATGGCATGAACCACTTCTGAGCAGAAATGTATGGGCCATCTAATGATTCCACCATATTATTTTTCATCTGCCATGAGAGCAGCATGTCCCAAATAGAACTGCTTCTCCAGCGTTGGTCCCAGAATAAAGATGTGCAGAGCCACAGCTGATGTACATGACATACATGTGAGGTAAGAAATAAACCTTTGTTATTGTAAGCCACTGAAATTCATTTAGTTGTTTGCTAATGCCGCATAACCTAGCAGTCTAAGCTGACTAATGCAACCTTAAAATCAGCTATCCGTGGTGGTAAGCCTAGAGTTTATCTACAAACATGATCAAAAAACAAACTGAACTCTGGTCCAGGCATACAAGAGAAATCTCAAGAAGGCAGATGTGATTGTAATTTAATAAATGGATGCCTAATCAGTCTTACCAACCAGTCATTCTGTATCTTATTTGGAGAGAGATTCTGTGAACCAAAGGGCTTAATCAGCCATGACAACCCAAAACAGGGCAGTCACAGAGGCAAGCATTAGTATTGCCCTTCTAAGTTCTGCCCCAGTCAAACTGACCTGGGCATTAGTATTTCCTTGTCCGTGTCATCCCTACAGTGGGTGAGAATATCTCAGGCTGCCTCAGCTGAGAAATGCTTCTTAAGATCAACGTGCTTCCCTGGTGTGATTCTATACTCACCCAGCAAATGACTTACCTATGGGGACAGAATTTAGTGATCTGCCACCTAGAGGATCCCAGTTCTTTTGATAATTACATTTTTCATTGTACATCAGCCTGTTGATTCTGGCTTATATAACCATCAGTTTCTGTGAACTTAATGGATACAAGAGCCGCCCTGGGAGATGGTTCCACTCTGCTTACTATTAAAATCAGGCTTCTGAATTTGCAAGGCTAAAGACCAGTTCTGGGATGTTGGTAAATTCCTTAAGGTTATAGCACTCTAGTAGAGGGACCCGTCTAGAGGGCCGACTAGACTACCCTCAGCTACACCTCTCTATCTCATTATGTGCTTTCTTTGATCTAAAAGAAAAGCAGTAAATGTTAAAGACAGACATAATTCACAAGCTGTGGGAGTTCAAAAAGGAGAGCAATTACTTCCACTTAGTATGGAATAGCGGAAGGAGAAAGATTGGCATGGATGTGACCTTTGGGTCTTAAAAAAATGAGTAGAACAAGGGAAAGAGCATGCCATGTGTAGGTAGCCAATGGAGCAAATATAGGAAGCAAGAGATCAATTGAGGAAATATAGAGTAACAGGAAAAGGAAGAAGAATCATCTGGAAAGTTATATATGGTCAGATTAAGGCTCTTGGGTTTTATTTTCTGCTAAGGGGAGTTAGTATGGAAGTTTTTTTGGTTTTGCTTGTTTTACCGCTTTAGCCATTTTTGAGTATGTAGTTCATTGTCATTAAGTACATTCACATTGTTGTGTAAATATCAGCACTCTCCATCTCCAGAACTGTTTCATCATCCTCTGCTGAAACTATACCCATTAAACAATAATTCTCCATCCTTCCCTTCCCCAACTCCTGGTAACAACTGTTCTGTTTTCTGTCTCTTTGAAATTTAACTATTCTAGGTATCTCATATAAGTGGAATCATTCAATATTTGTCCTTTTGTGTCTGGCTTATTTCACTTAGCATAATATATTCAAGGTTCATCCATGTTGTACCAAAGTTTCATTTCTTTTTATGGCTGAATATTAGTATTTCATTATGTGTATATAGCACATTTTGTTTATCCATTTATCCATCAATGGACATTTGGATTTTTTCCATCCTTTGGGTACTGTGAATAATGATGGCTATGAATATTGGTGTACAAATATCTGAGTCCCTGCTTTCAGTTCTTTGGGGTATATACTGAGAAGTGAAATTGCTGGATCATATGGTAATTCTATGTTTAATTTTTTGAGGAACCACCATACTGTTTCCTACCATGGCTACACCATTTTACATTCCCAGTGACAGAAGTTTTTACAAAAGGATTGACATGGTGAAAACTGTAGTTAAAGACAATCTGGCAGAGATGATAAGATGGAATGGGATTGCAAAAGGACCACTGGAGACTTCCACAGTAGTTCAGGCAAGATGCAATGAGCTCCTGAACACATCAGCAATGAGAACAACTGCAGAGGTGACATTGCCACGGTAGGATTGGAAGGACTTGACTGTTGTGGCTGGCTATTTCAGGGGCAGGGGGAGAGGGGATCAAGAGGTGTTTAATATGACTTTCATATTTCACAGCTGGGAGGATGGTAGTCTCCAGATGAAGAGTTCTGGACTTTTCTAGAGCATGGAGAAGTCATGAGTTCAGGTTGGAACATGTAGAGTTGGATTACAAATGAGACATTGTAAGCTGTGAGGTGAACATTGTTGTCTTGCCTGCTCAACACCTTTGCCCCTTCAACTGGTAGTGGCACTCTACTTTTTTTTCTTCTTCTTTTAGATTGTAAAACCATCCTTCTTCATCTGCATGTAGTGCTGGGCTGAAAAGGTCTGTGGCCATGAGAATGCACTTTTCAGATCTCCAACTGGGAGAAGTGTAATTCATCAGCAGCGCAAGTGCTGAGCTCTGAAATCCATCACCCCTTACTCTCAGGCCTCCCCTCCCCCAGGCTGGTCCTGGCCAATGACAGCCCTGCAGGAATTTTGGGATAAGCTTTTTTCAGAATAAATGATGCTCTTCTAATGGGCCACCTTGGCCCAAGGGCCCTCAATGTTGCCTTGCCAAACTTTCCTTGGAACTACACTGCAGTCTAAGACCCTTCCACCTAGAACTTCTTCCTTCTCTCTCCTTCCCTTAGGGTCAGATCTGCATCATTGTCTGATGGTCCTTGGTCTCTCAGCTCCTACCCCATTTTCTCTCACAGGTGTTTTTCATAATAAATTCCTTGCATTTAATCCTGTCTTGGTATCTGATTTTCTAAGGATCTGAACTGGCATGAGGGAAGGGAGGATGGGATATTTCTTTCCACAGCATATCTTCCATATCCCATCAGCTGTAGGAGTAGGCATATGACCCAGTCTGACTGATCATAATGATCCCCACATCTTGGCCCAATGCTTCCTCACAGTGTCTCAGCGTCATTTCACTCTCAGACCATTAGTTATTTGGTCCACCTCACCCACAGACGTGGCTGACCAACTCTGAGTGAGGCCTTACAGTTCTGCCTGAGGCCAACTAATTGCAAATGTGGATTCTAAGGCTTCTGCAGCTTTCAGACCCTGATGACACACCTCTTCAGAGAACATGAGCTCTGGCTTCCTGAGCAGCTGCTGAAGGGGCCAATGAAGCAACCTGGAAGTATAGGAGATTTAACTACCCATAGGGCAAAGTAATCAATGGGAGACAGGAGACAGGAAGCAGCAGGATAGAACAATCCAGTCTCTTTTCCTTCCTCTAATGGATTGTTTCAAGGTACAATTTCTCTATGCAACCTATCTAGAGACATTCCACATGGCCAAGTGGGTGGACCTCTCAAGAGACTAGCTGTGTCTCTTCGCAGCTCATCGTGAAGAAGTAGCAAACATTTCCTTGCATTGCTTTCCATCTTTTCCTGCTTCCCCTATCCCTTCATTCTCACTGCCCTAGAAATCTGCATCCTACAAAAACCTTTAGCACTTAATCCCTTCTTCAGACTTTGTTTTCTAGGAACCCTTGCTAAGACAGGTCACAGTTGCACAGATGAGCACATGACCCAACCTAAGCTAAGCAAAGCCCTCTGGAAGATGTGAAATATAGATCCAGGAAAGATAGGACTTTTCTTCTGGAGGTCTTGAGCCATATGGATCTGGGGGTGGCCATCATTTCTGCTTCATGAAGAGAGCCTGCCTGAGCATGAAGTCATCACAAAGGAAGGCAGAGCTCTGTGAACTTTCTTTGAGCTGCTAGATCCAACTCTCCCCAATATGCGTAACTGTTTTGTCATTTCTTGATCTCTCTGAAGACCAGTTTTCCCAATCCAGATCAAAACATGGTCACCAGTGGATCCCAAGTCACCTCCATTCAAGAGATCAGCCAAGCAACTAAACTTTTAGGTTCCATTTCGAATTTCTGGGAGAAGAGCTACTGCTTGGGCTAGCTTTGGCCAGATGTCCACCCCTGAAGCAATCAACATTGTGGAGAGAGATGCAGGGTCATGTATAAACATGGCTGTATTCACTGTGACCCTGTGGATAATGGTGTGATAGCAAGGTGTGGGATAGAATAACACGTCCCAGAAAAGTGGGAGGAGAGAGTTGGGCAGATGAAAGAAATGCTGCCCACTCCTTGAGAATAAATAAGGGGACAGAGGATAAAGAGAAGAAGTCAGAGGGCAGAATGCAATCTAACACAATGCTACCCTACACTTTTTCTAAACCAACCCTATTCCATAGAACTTTCTGCAATGATGGAAATGTTTTATTTTTTTTTAAAGATTTATTTATTTTAGAGAGAGAGTGTGCGAGTGGGGGAGGGGCAGAGGGAGAGAGAATCACAAGCAGACTCCCTGCTGAGCGCAGAGCCCAATGTGGGGCTTGATCTCACAATCCTGAGATCATGACCTGAGCCGAAATCATCAGTTGGACACTTAACTGACTGAACCACCCAGGCATCCTGGAAATGTTTTATATTTACGTTGTTCAGTATAGTAGGCACCAGTCACAGGTAGCTGTTTAGCACTTGAAGACAGGTAGTGCAACTAAGAAACTGAATTTTTATTTCACTTTATTTTAATTTCAGTTTAAATAAGCTATATGCATTTAATGACTACATATTGGACAGCATAGATCTAGACTACTGATTTGCTTGGGAAGGCAGTATGGAATGTTAGCTAAAGCATATGCTTTGGAATCAGCCTACTCTGGGTTCAAGTCCCAACTCTATTTCTTAGTGGTATAAATTGAACAGGTGACTTAACCCCTCTGAGCTGTAGAGGTGAAAGATACAAAGAACAGGAAATGATATGTGGTACCAGAAAAAGAGAAAGGGGCAAAAGATCTGCAGAGGCACAAAGAGTCAGTTGAATTTGACAATTAGGAGACTGAGTGGATTAAGACAGAAAAGTGTGAAAAGTGTGAGGGGTGAAAGCCAGACCAGCAGTGTACCTGTCTTTTGCGCATCTGCTATTTTTCTTCCCTCTGGAGGGGTATCCCAGGCAGGGAGAGATAAGGAACACAAGGGCACCTGGGTGGCTCAGTCATTAAGCGTCTGCCTTCAGCTCAGGTCATGATCCCAGTGTCCTGGGATCGAGTTTCTCGTCGGGCTCCTTGGTCGGTGGGGAGCCTGCTTCTCCCTCTCCTACTCCCCCTGCTTGTGTTCCTGCTCTCACTATCTCTCTCTATCAAATAAACAAATAAAATCTTAAAAAAAAAAAAAAAAAGATAAGGAACACATTTTCTCTTAATCCTGGTGGCTTGTGGGGAGCTGAGAACCTAAAGGCATGTCCTGAAAACAAGGCTCCAAAGTCAAGCCAGAAAAACAGAACCAATCACTATGAGTCATTAGGTCTGAAGCCAAAGATGGGATTGCCTAGACCAAGGAAGCCACAAGGCATGAACATCTCATATACATCCCCTTGTTACACAACACTTACTGTGTGACTAGACTGTGAGTCCTTCCAGGTTCAGGGCCTTGTTCATCTTGGTATCTCCAACACCTAGTAAGTTCCTGGCACCATAGTTGGTGCTTAATTAACATCTATAAAATGAATGAATGCAAGTAAGCCAGTTCACTCCCCTCCCTGATGCATAGTGGACACTCTGTTAATTGCATTATCAGAGGGAGAAAACTACGGTAAGAAGGTGCCAGGGAATCCTTCTTGGCTTGGAAACTATTGGTAAGGTCCTTAGCATATTGCCTGGCACAGAGGAATTGCTCAACAAGTGTCACTATGGTAATTATTATTAGTGGGGGGAGGAGGTAAGGTTTTATATAAGGATGGGAGAAGGCCTTAATAATAATAAGAGCTAAAATATACTGATCTCATTTAGTCCTTAAGCCAACTTGATAAGGTAGGTTTTATTAGACTAATTTTACAGATGAGAAAACTTAGAGATGTAATTTATCCAAAATTAGCCAGCTTAGAAATGGCAAAGCTGGGGGGCGCCTGGGTGGCTCAGTTGGTTAAGCGACTGCCTTCGGCTCAGGTCATGATCCTGGAGTCCCGGGATCGAGTCCCGCATCGGGCTCCCTGCTCGGCAGGGAGTCTGTTTCTCCCTCTGACCCTCCTCCCTCTCATGCTCTCTGTCTCTCATTCTCTCTGTCTCAAATAAATAAATAAAATCTTAAAAAAAAAAAAAGAAGAAGAAGAAGAAATGGCAAAGCTGGTATTGAACCTGAGCTTATAAGTCTCCAGACTCCAGGCTCTACCAAAAAGGGAGCCAGGGAGTAGGATTCTCAAAAGAGGAGTTTAAGGAAGGCAGTTCTTGTGTCAAAATTCACTTCTGATTTCTATCTGTTCACGTAAGTTGCGATGCTTTTTTTCTCCCTTCCACACCCACTACTTGTCTTCTTGACAGGGTCCTCATCCCTTCTACTGAGTTTACCTCTAGGCCACCCTTCTAATTCCTATCCCATTCAACCATATCTATTCTGGGTTGACTTAAAGTGGCAGTTGAAATGAGGTCAAAGGGAGCTTTTTATTTATTGGTTTGGTTTTGATTTTAAGAAAAGAGACTCGAGCAATTTTATAAACTGAACATTCCAGTAGACAGGCAGAAATCGGCAATGCAAAAGAGTATCTACAGAGGTAAGTTCTTGGTGTCCTTACCTCAGGTTGGGGAGAGGCTGGCCTCTGAGACCTGGGACGCTGTGACTTTCCTTCATAGCAAAGGAAGACAGGGAATATGCGTACAAAAGCAAGAAAGTTAGTAAAGGTTAGGATGCTTAAAATCAAGAGTTAAGTTTTACAGCAATTATGATGGCATGGTATAGGGCAATATTTTTCAGATTGCAGGTCATAACCCATTAATAGGTCATGAAATCATTTAGAAGTTTGTGACCAGCTTTATTTAAAAATGGAATAGAGGGGAGCCTGGGTGGCTCAATTGGTTAAGCATCTGCCCTTTAGGTCAGGTCATGATCTCAGGGTCCTGGGATTCAGCCCGTGTCAGACTCCTTGCTCAGCGGTGAGTCCTTTTCTCCCTCTCCCTCTGCCCCTCTGCCTGCTTGTGTCCTCTCTCCCTCTCTCTCTCTCTCTCTCAAATCAATAAAAAAAAATTTTTTTTGAGTAAAGCAATAGACATTTATTAAGTGAAGATACAGAAAAGTCTCTCAAGAGTGAGAGGGGTCCCAACAGGGTTGCCCAATAAATAAAATCTTTTTAAAAAATAGAATTGAATTGAAAATTTGAATTGATTGCACTTTGCAGGGTAAATACTGTAGAAACTGTTGTGAAACTTTATTTAAGTTATTTATATAGCTATGTGTGTCCTGGTCACACTGTACAATTGATTTCTTATTGAGGGTACAATAAAAAATGTTCAAAAGCCACTGGTCCACGATGTGACCGTGGGAAAAGTGGCTGATTCCTAGAACTTTCTTTCTCTTCCAGATTTTTCCATGATACTCATAAATTGTCTTGCTTTGTGGTTGATAATAGGCACTGTAAAGGGCATGAGACTGATCAACTATGCCAGAGCTTCCTAAGTAGTGAACACAGTATGTGGGTTACATATGTGCCCCCAAATTAATCTCCTAGTCATCAGGTCTACTCTTTCAGCCTGGTTTCTGCTCCCCTATTGCCCCAAGATGACAGCCAACATCTCCCAAGGCTCGCCTGCTTCCTCATTCATGGTTAGCAAGGAAGAGACTGTCCGTGTACCAGCCTTCTCGGCAAAAATCCTGAGATTCCCTCTGATTGGACTGGCTGATTCATATGTCCATCCTGAACCAATCATTCTCGCCATTGACTATCTCAGCCCTGCTCTACTCCCATGGAGTCGGCTTCCTAGAAACACATGGATCCTGGAAAATAATGAGGTAATCAACTAAGGTCTAATACATATGACCCCTAACGGGCCGAAATGAGCGGTAAGTTTCAGTAGCATTTACGCTGGTCATTTCCCAGACTCCCTTTGCCAGCTGGCTTCCTGTCAGATTCGGTGAATGGGAAGCACAGGTGAGAAATTGCAAGCTGGAGATGGCACGGCAATAGGACAGGCAAAATCATTTTCTCTCTGCATCCACTGGAGACTCTGGCAACAGCTGGTGGTGATGGGCTCAGGGACATTCAGCGTTTCCAGCAGTGGTGGGTTACTGCCCACAGGCTCCAACAGGGTTGGTGGTACTGGAGGGGCAGCAGTGGGTACCTGCAGGCTCCAGGGACCTCTGGCAGTTCTGCCAGCAGCATCATTTCAAAAACTAAGCTCCTGGGGCACCTGGGTGGCTCAGTGGGTTAAGCGTCTGCCTTTGGCTCAGGTCATGATCTCAGGATCCTGGGATCGAGTCCCACATCAGGCTCCCTGCTCAGCGGAGAGTCTGATTCTCCCTCTCCGTCTGCTCCTCCCCCCCTGCTTCGTTCGTTCTCTCTCTTCTCTCAAATAAATAAATAAATCTTTAAAGAAAAAAAGGAAAAACCTAAGCTCCCATAGTGTCAGCAGCAAGCGTACTTCTGGACCCCGTAACACCCTTCCATTTGATCTTCCAAGCCTAGGGGTGGTAGAAGCTTCCTGCAGGTATTAATCTCTAGTCTGGGGGCGCCTGGGTGGCTCAGTCATTAAGCATCTGCCTTCGGCTCAGGTCATGATCCCAGGGTCCTGGGATTGAGCCCCGCATCAGGCTCCCTGCTCCGCGGGAAGCCTGCTTCTCCCTCTCCTACTCCCCCTGCTTGTGTTCCTGCTCTCGCTGTCTCTCTCTCTCTGTCAAATAAATAAAATCTTAAAAAAAAAAAAATCTCTAGTCTGCCTCACCTTACCCTTCTGCTCCTTCAAGCCAACAGGTTTCCAAGCACATTTTCTGGTTTCTTGTCTTCACCTCAGCTGACATATTGTCTGGGCCATGGGATAGGCCAACTTCCTTGACTAATTTCCCAGTTGTGCTGTTTGGAGTTGCCAGGCTGGGTGACTGCCACAAGAAAAGCACACTATGCTCTCCAGGGCACACTGAGGAAGGAGCAAGGACAGACCCTGGAGGAAGCCCAGATGAAGCTTCCTACTCCCATTGCTTCCTTACTTACCCCTAATGATTAGAACTTACTGGTGTCTCCCAGAACAACCTGAGGCCATGTTGCAATTGGGAGAGATAGGCTCATCCTGACCAGGTGGGAGTGCAGCAATGAATGCAGTTGGCAAGGGGCCCGAAACAGAGGGGCCAAGACAAGGTGTCCTTGCTGCAGAGTAGAGTTTAGGAAGGGAGGATGGGCAGGAATGATTACCTCTGCTTCCTCTTTTTCAGAGGTGCTGGTAGAAGGGTAGACCTATGGTTCTCAACCTTTCCTGTCTTACCCTCCATAAAGTGCTCTGTAACCAAACCAAGAAAATGGACTCTTCCACTAGCATTCATTTTTGCCAGTATATAAAGCACTGCTACTAAATGCTTACAGCTAACCTTCTATGGGCTCCTGGTGCTACCCAAACCGCTGTGGGGTAGCCAAGTCTCCACAGAGACTGGAGGGGTAAGATTGTGAATGATTCCTGGGGGCCCCAAAGGGCAGCAGTGCCAGGAACACCACTTCTCTCAGGGGTCCCTTGCCATGGCCAGCAGTGTTTTGCAAGGCAGTGTTAGGCAAGTCCTGTTTAAGTGTGACCCGCAATTGGGAACTTTCTAGATCCAGCTCAGTCAGCTACCTGCTCTGTGATCTTGGGTAAGTCACTTAATCAAGATCGGTCTCAATATTTTCATCTATTTTAAGTTCTTTTAAAATAAATAGTTTTAAGGGGGTGGATGGGATGGGAGATAGGTATTATCCTCTACACTCCCCTTCTTGCCTATCCTCCCTAGGTTTCCGTGAGTATCAAAGACAAGCATGAAAATGCTCTGAAAAGTACAAAGCACCCTACAAAAGCAAGGAAGTATTATTATCAACATAGCTGTTAGCTTAGAAAGATGGAGGCAGGGCCCAGGCTGAGAGCCAAACAGCTGGAAGGCAGGAAATCTTAACACCAAAGAAGGAAACTTTCTTTGTTCAAAATCTTCCTGGAGTGGCACTTTCTTTGGAGCAGACCTGGCACTGGACTCCTCTGAAATGCTGAAGCGGGTCCAGGAAAGTGTTAAGGGGGTAGGTAGGGCATTTAGCAGCCAAAGATACTGGAGAAACACCAGCCCTGGTTTCTCAGTTCCTTTATGATCCAACAAAGGATGCAATGGACCTGGGGTGGGGAGGGGCGGTGTGGAGGCTGACTGTATCAGCTGGACTCAGGTTGAAAGTCAGATGTGTGTTGGATCCTTCCACAGCCTCGTTAACCAGTTACCAAGCTATTTTGGGAGCCAGGATGTCATGGCACTCTGTAATACTGAACTCAGTTGCCAACAACCTAAAATCCATTCTCTCTACGTGGTGTTCAAAGCAAACATTGATCTGGAGAAGACCATAGAGATGGTCTAGTCAAACTGAGGTGCTGAGAGGGGCAGAGACTGACCAGGATAACAAGTAGAATCAGGCTCATTGGGCTGCAAGGGACAGAAATCAACCCAAACTAGCTCAAATATAAAGGATTTTCTTGTAAGGACTGGAACTGAAATGCCAGCAGGAACAAAGCAGCTCTAGGACTCACTGTTCTATTCATTCTCCCTCTCCTGATGCCCTCCCCCATCTCTGCACAGGGCTGCTCCTTTTGCCTCTACCTACTAATCGGCTTCTGCTTCTTCTTGGTCTCTGCTCCCTCTTATCTTGGCGTGCACATGGTTCTACTGGCCAAGGCTCACTTGTCTCTGACCTCCCTACTCTAGCTCTCTCTGTTACCTGACAGTTTCTTTCTGTTCCTTGCATCAAGAGAGCCTCTAACTGGCCTGTCTCAGATTGTTATGGTAGGCCATTAGTTAAAGGTCACCAGCGAGTATATGAAATGGTAACCCTTGGCTCTGGTGCTGGCCCCATTTGTTCAAGTCTAGAAACTAAAGGGGCCAAGTGGTCTAAAGCAGGAGCCCAATAGGGTTTGTGGTCTGGGCAGCTCTTCTTCCAAGTGAATATAAGTTGGGCAGGCACTGTGCCATCACCGGGACCATGTGACTAGAGCCCAAGGCTCCAGATTTTCTTTCCAGAATTTTTTCCATAGAATTTGTCATTTCTTTCCTTTATTTGTGCAGCAGACATGTCTTAGTGCCTGTTCAATGTCATTCATAAAGATCTCCCTCCTCCTACCTCCCCTCCTCCTCCCTGACTCAAGGAAATTATGGTATAGTGAAGATAAAAGCAGGAGAATAATTGGAATACATGAGTGCTTTAGAAGAAGTATAAACAAACTGATAATATCTACCACTTACTGAGTACCCTGTACCAATCACTGCTGATCACTTTACATACATTTTCTCATTTAATCTTTACAACTCCCCTGTGAAGTCGGCACCACATTTTACACAAGTGGAAACCGTCTCAGAGAGCGGTTCACAGATAATAAATAGCACAGCAGGGCTCTGATGCCAAAGTCTGGTCTGCGCTATGCAGCCTTTACCATGCTGTTAGAGCACAGAGGATCACCTTGGCCATGGGAGGAGGCAGGGATGGGTGGCAAGAGCAGTAGACTTCCAGGAGTTGAGCCTTGGAGCAGGAGTGAGCTTTCACCAGGCCAGTGGGGGTGGGCCGTGTGGTGTAGACAGCAAGATGTGAGCACCAGAAGGGCTGGAGTGGGGGTGTGAGCAGGAAGCAGGGCCAGGAGCACGTTGCATATCCCTGAGATATGCCTCCCTAAATTTGTGCTCTAGGTGCCTCTCTTGCCCTGCCTTCATCCAAGCCCTGGCAAAGCATGTGGAGTTGAGGCCACAAGGAGCATTGAAGAGAAGGAGAAGAAGAAGACAAATTCAACACAGCCTATAAAATGCAACTACCAGTATCTGGGCCTTTGTACCTGAAATAGACTCTCAGGGCACATGGGTAGACTCCAAAGCAAAAAATTCAAGAGGGATGAAAATCTTTAAAATAACCACATAAACAATCTTCTCCAGGGGTGCATAGATGGCTCAGTCAGTTGAGCGTCTGACTCTTGATTTTTGCTCAGGCCATGATCTCGGGGTTGTGAGATCGAGCCCTGGTGGCAGGCTCTGTGCTGGGCATGGAGCCTACTTGGGATTCTCTCTCTTTCCCCCTCCCTCTTTCCCTCTTCCCCTCCCCCCTTCCTCTGAAAAAAACAAAACAAAACAAAAACAATCTTCTCCAGCCCAGATTCCCCACACAGTTTTCTTCTTCTGCCTGACCTTCAGGTCTTGTCTTGGATGTCAGTTCCCCTAGAAGCATTCTTGTCTCCCAAGCTTGCCTTTAGGCACTTGGGTTACATTTTTGTAATTGCCCTTTGCTTTGTCTGTCTCTGCACTTCAGACTGAATTCCCTGAGGGCAAGGGCTGGGTCTTATTCACCCTTCCACCCCTGGCAGAGCCTTTGGCTCATAGTAGCTGCTCAGTAAAAAATAGGTTAAAGAATAACAAATAGCCTCCAAGAAGCCTTGGCCAAATCTTTCAGGCCACATGGATTTTTTTCTCCCTATCTCTGCGGGCCTACCAACCTCAACAACTGGAATCTTACACATGTTGGAGAAACCTTAAAAATCATCTAGCTATCTCCTTCCTCCTATCATTTTACAGATGGGATGATTGAGGCCCAATTATCAGGTATTTGCCAACAATCTCAATTTTATGTCTTCAGCCACAATTTCTCCCCTGAACTCCAGACCCAAACAGCTGCTTCTGCATCCCCACATCCAGGACTCCCCACAGTGCCTGTGCCTGAACACATCCACAACTGGCCTGAGCACTGCCCCCAGGCCCGGTCCTCCTCCAGGCTTCCCCAACCTGGTGAAGAACATCACCACCTGCCCTGCTGCTGGGGTCAAGATGTTGGGAGCCCCCTGCCACCTCCTACAGTCTCCCACCACCAATCAAACACCAAGGCCAGTCGTTTCACCCACCAAAATCACAAAATGTCTCCAAATGCTCTCTGCCTCCTTGGTTTAAATGCCCCACAGTTCTCAATGCCCCTGCAAAGTGCCCTCATTAATTCCCCAAATCTGCTCTTTCCTTGTTCCCAACCATGCTCCTCACTGCAGCAAGAGTGACCTTTAAAAAATGCTTCTTTGTAGGGCACATGGGTGGCTCAGTTGGTTGAGCATCCAACTCTTGACCTCAGCTCAGGTCTTGATCTCAGAGCTGTAAGTTCAGGCCCGGCCTTGGGCTCCACGCTGGGCATGGAGCTTACTTTAAAAAAAAAAAAAAAAGCTTCTTTATGATTTAACAACATTGCCGATAGACCTTCAATGGCTCTCTAAAGAAAAATAAATAATAATTATTGTTATTATAGCTAACACTTATGGGAAATTTATTATGTCCTAAGACCCGTTCTAAGGACTTTACATATATTAACTCATTTAATCCTCACAACTATAAATATCCCCATAATACAGATGAGAAAACTGAGACTCAGAAGCACCTTTGGGGCCTTTTCGCATAAACTCTTACCCTATCCTTGACTCTGATCTGGTTGACAGCTATTCAAACTTCAGATGAAGTACCTTGAGGAACATTCTAGCAGGCCCTCCTATGGCACATATTCCAGTTTGTAATTATGTATTATTTTGGTGTGGTGGTCATTTGATTGATGTCTGCCATCCCAATAGACTCTATTTCTTTCTTTAAAGAGGGAGTGGGGGCGGGGCAAAGGGAGAGAGAGAGAGAGAGAAAATCTTAAGCAGGCTCCCGCCCAGCACTGAGCCCAACGTGGGGCTCAATCTCACAACCCTGACCTGATCATGACCTGAGCCGAAATCAAGCATCGGATGCTTAAACTGATGGAACCATCCAGACATCCCCCCACCAACAGACTTTAAATTCTATGTTTTGCTCATTGTTGTGTCCTCAGTATTTAACACGTAACAAATACTCAATATTTGTTGAATGGATCAATGAAAAGGGTTTTCAGTAGGAGAGTAGATGTGGGCAGATTCGTTTTAGAAGGATTTCTCTTGGGTGAAAGCTTGGCGATGTCTAGACCTACAAACCAAGTCTCTGCCCCCAGCTGGATTCAGGAGTGAGAAGAACGAGTGTGGACGAGGGGACTGGCCATGGGGATGGATAGCAGTAAATGAACCTGGGGAATATTTAAGAGGTGGGTTAGGCAGGCCCTGATAATTAACTGGATGGCAGTGAGGACAGAGGAGGAGTCAAAGGTGACTCTTAGGTTTCTGGCTTAAGCAACTGGTAGCTTGAACTCAGGTGGGGACCATTTGGGAAGAAAGAAGCAGGTTGGGTTGGCAGAGCAGGTGGCCCCTAGACCAAGTCAACTAAACCATTGAAAAGCTCTCAAAATCTTTGTGCCCAAACTCCTCTGTGCCCAAACTCTAGCTTGGCCCCGGTATACTTGTCCAGCTTCATCTCTAACCAACCCCAAGACTCAGGGCAGGTAGACCACTGCTCCTCCCCTAAGCTCTGTTCTTCTTTGCCCAGACTTATAAGTGTTGCCCCACTCCTTCACCCTTCCCTTAAATTCCACAAGACTCATTTCAAGGACATCTCCTCCTGCACCCCTCCTCTCTCCCCATACCCCTTCTTGTGGTTAATGGGTCCTTGGCTGTTTCCAGGATTCACTGTGTCAGAAATATTTCTCTCCCGTCTCTCTTAATGACTATTTTCCTCAATTCTGAATCCCCAGCACCTGGGACAAAGCCTGGATCAAGGTTAACATCAAAAAACTTCGTTTTAGAAAAACGTTCCATGCTCATGGATTGAAAGAATGAATATTGTGAAAATGTCTATGCTACCCAGAGCAATCTACACATTTAAAGCAATCCCTATCAAAATATCATCAACTTTTTTCAAAGAAATGGAACAAATAATCCTAAAATTCGTATGGAACAAGAAAAGACCCCGAATAGCCAGAGGAATGTTGAAAAAGAAAAGCAAAGCTGGTGGCATCACAATTTCGGACTTCAAGCTCTAGTACAAAGCTCTAATCATCAAGACAGTATGGTACTGGCACAAAAACAGACACATAGATCAATGGAACAGAATACAGAGCCCAGAAATGGACCTTCAACTCTATGGTCAACTAATCTTCAACAAAGCAGGAAAGAACGTCCAATGGAAAAAAGACAGTCTCTTCAACAAATGGTGTTGGGAAAATTGAACAGCCACATGCAGAATGAAACTGGACCATTTCCTTACACCACACAAAAAAATAGACTCAAAATGGATGAAAGACCTAAATGTGAGACAAGAATCCATCAAAATCCTTGAGGAGAACACAGGCAGCAACCTCTTCGACCTCAGCCGCAACAACTTCTTCCTAGAAACATCACCAAAGGCAAGGGAAGCAAGGGCAAAAATGAACTATTGGGACTTCAAGATAAAAAGCTTTTGCACAGCAAAGGAAACAGTCAGCAAAAGGAAAAGACAACTGACAGAATGGGAGAAGATATTTGCAAATGACATATCAGATAAAGGGCTAGTATTCAAAATCTATAAAGAACTTACCAAACTCAACACCCAAAGAACAAATAATCCAATCAAGAAATGGGCAGAAGACATGAACAGACATTTCTGCAAAGAAGACATCAAAATGGCCAACAGACACATGAAAAAGTGCTCAACATCACTCGGCATCAGGGAAATCCAAATCAAAACCTCAATGAGATATCACCTCATACCAGTCAGAATGGCTAAAATTAACATGTCAGGAAACGACAGATGTTGGCGAGGATGTGGAAAAAGGGGAACCCTCCCACACTGTTGGTGGGAATGCAAGCTGGTGCAGCTACTCTGGAAAACAGTATGGAGGTTCCTCAAAAAGTTGAAAATAGAGCTACCTTATGACCCAGCAATTACCCTACTGTGTATTTACCCCAAAGATACAAATGTCGTGATCCAAAGGGGTACATGCACCCCGATGTTTATAGCAGCAATGTCCACAATAGCCAAACTATGGAAAGAGCCTAGATGTCCATCAACATTGAATGAATAAAGAAGAGGTGGTATATATATACAATGGAATATTATGCAGCCATCAAAAAATGAAATCTTGCCATTTGCGACCATGTGGATGGAACTAGAGGGCATTATGCTAAGCGAAATAAGTCAATCAGAGAAAGACAAGTATCATATGATCTCACTGATAGGAGGAATTTGAGAAACAAGACAGAGGATCATAGGGGAAGGGAGGGAAAAATGAAACAAGACAAAACCGGAGAGGGAGACAGACCATAAGAGACTCTTAATCTCAGGAAACAGAGTGGAGGGGAATGGGAGGTATGGGATGGCTGGGTGGTGGACATTGGGGAGGGCACGTACTATGGTGAGCGCTGTGAGTTATGTAAGACTGATGAATCACAGACCTGTACCCCTGAAACAAATAATACATTATATGTTAATTTAAAAAATTAAAAAATAAAAATAAATTTTAAAAAATACTTTGTTTTATTGACTTCTTCCTAGACCTTGGCTTTCTTATAACAAGAGTGGGGCCGGGAGTCGGACTTTGAATCCTGATGCTGCCACTTAGAATTTGTCCAAGTCACTTCTCTCTAACCCTGTGTCCTCATCTGTCAAATGGAGCTGATAATAAAGTAGACCTACCCAGAAGAGCGGCTTTGAGCATTAAATTAAATGCTGTATGTTTAAGTGTTTAGTACAATGCCTGGGACATTGTTAGCTCCCTCAAAAATTTAGCTGTTATTTATTTTAAGAAAAAAATTCCCACGGGGTGCCTGGCTGGCTCAGTCGGTGGAGCCGGCGACTTTTGATCTCGGGGTTGTAGTTTCCAGCCCCACACTGGGTGTAGAGATTACTTAAAAATAAATCTTAAAAAAAAAATCCCGCCTTAAAATCGGGGAGCTGCATGAACTGGAACGGAAGATTACAGTTCCCAGGATGGCCATACGAGGGAAGTGGTGAGCAGCCTCAGGGCGGACTCTGGCTCTGCTGTGCTGAGGCACCTGCTGTGGACCCAGATGGCTGGGCTGGGATTTCCGGGGCTTCCCCGCCCCTGAACAGGTGGGCGCTGGCCGGGGGGCTGTGGGAGGAGCCTCCACCGTGTGCTCTGCCCTCTCACAGCCACTGCGGTCCCTCCTGCTCGCTCCCTTCACGCCTTGGGGGAGGAGCCGGCGGGGTAGAGTGGGCAGGAGTAGAGGACTGCTGGGATTCATCCTCTCCAGTTTGTCATATGTCTTTCAAACTTGAGTATGATCATTTCTTCTCTATAGAAGTTTTTATAGTCAAATTTATCGATGTTTTTCCTTTGGCTTCTAGGTTTCATCATGCCTAGGAAAGTCTTTTCCATCTCCAGGATTATTGAAACATTCACTCATGCTCTCTTCTGGTACATAAAATATATAAATATGCTAGTCACTTGGAATTTATTTTGGTGTAAGGACACAGTTTTCTCTCATTTCCTCAAATGACTTGCCAGTTATTTCACCCGTTTACCTGAAGTGCCAACTTTATCATACACCAAATTCCTTTGTGTGGTTGGATCCATTTCTCTTTTCCGACTTGTTCCACTAATTCGTGTAGTCCTGCTTCGATACCATGCTGCTCTAAATACATTGAGTCTCTGTTTTAATATCAGGTAAGACAGAATCTCTTTCCATTCCTTTTTCTCTAGCTTTTTTTTTTTTTAATTCCTGCATGTTTATGCTTCTACATGCACTTAAGAATCAACCGTCCACCCAATCCTTTGTCCCTGAAGTCCCTGAAATTGTATGCAAAGTGTACATTTGCACATTTGTCCAGAGAGAAGGCCCAAGTTTTCACCAAATGTGCAAAGGGACCATGATTCCAAAGGGAGCCCCTGATTTCCATGTCTCTATGATAGGGTGCTTGGGAAGAGCACAAGGAAATCTTGATTCCTCCCTCCTCCCCCACATCCTCACAGGCTCTGCTCTCCCCATCCTTCACCTCCATTGTTCCAGCTATTTCCCTGACCTCCATGTTGTCCCTCTAATCTAATCCCCCTTGCTGTTCCAGAGCAATCATTCTATGACACAGGCCTAGTTCTAGGCCTGATGTAGATTAGATGATAACAAAAGTTTAATTAACAGTTGAATAAAATTGAGTCCTGGCTTCACCTCTGGCCAGCTGTGGGACCCTGCTTCAGGCTGTCCACATTTTAGGGTCTCATAAAGTCTTTTTCTTCACAACAGGAACTTGGGCAAGTCTTTTCTCCTCTCTCGGCGTCAATTTTTCCACCTGTATATTGAATTTGAGTTTGTAAGTCATTTCCTCTATCTTCCACCATCTGATTTCCCTGGATCTGGTCCAGGATGGAGTAGGGGTACCATGGTGTCAGTGATGTCCTTCGAGGTGCCCGAAAGAGGAGGAAGGATGAAAAAGTACAGATAGACATGGTGGTGGGGGGGGGAGCAGACATGAGGCAGGAGTGTCCTAGGGACGTGGAGAGGCTTGAGGCGTCCTCTAGACCCCAACCCTTCGAGGTCCTGTTAGCCTGGGTTGCCTGCAACCAAGCAAACCTAGACTCTCCCCATTCCCCTAAGTCCGCCCACCACCAAAGGCCCTGCCCCCAGTGGCCCCGCCCCTCCGGTGACCCCACCCGCCTGACCGAGGCCCCGCCCCCATCAGGCCCCGCCTCCCTCTTCGCCTCCCGCCGGCCGGGGCTTGGGCTTTGCACCCGGCGGCGGCTGAGAACCGTGGCTGCTGCGGAGCCGGCAGCGCAGGCGGGCGGAGCGAGCTGCCCGGCCCGGTGGCGGGCGATGCCCCCGTGAGCCTCTTTCGCCGCCCCTCCCCGCCCCGCGCCCCTACACCCTCGGAGTCCGCCGCCCGCCTGGGACCGGGCCGCGCCCACCGCCGGGTCCGCGGGGCGGGGTCCAGGGGCAGCACCTGCCCCGCCTTGTGGAGCCGCCTCGCCCAGCGGAGACCCCTCCCTGTCTGGACCCTGGCCCCACCTCCGGGTAAGTCAGTAGGCCTTGCTCGCCTGGGAGTGGACGTGGGGAGGGGGCTGCGGAGATCTGGGGGATCACCGGGGCGGGGGGAGAGGGTTCCGGCCGTGAGGCGCCACGTAGGGATGTGAGTGTGCAGGGTTGGGGGGGTGCAGGGCGGGGGCTCAGAGGATGAGCAGAGTGTATGTGATGGCTCAGGGGTGGGGGCTAAGGTATGAGAGGGGAACGTGGGGTATTTGAGGAAGCCTGAAAAATGGGGTAGGGGACCCCAGAGTCTTGAGTTCTTTGCTGATTCTCAGAGCACCTGGGGCCCTGGTCTTCAACAGCATTGCCTCGCATGGCATTTTTAGAAAGTGCCTCAAATCTCTCCTGGAAAGGGAGCTGGAAGGCAGCCTGCTTTCTCCCTCCTGCCTGTGCCCTGGTTGCGAAGCAGGCACTCTTTCCTCCCAATGAAACACCACTGTGGGGCCCAGAGGACCCCCCCCCCAGCCCATGAAAGAAAAGGGGTGGTACTCACTCCAGCCCTAGGGTAGGAAGTGGGGACTTTTGGGAAGCTGGGAAAGGCAATTGGTCAATCCACGGTGGGGAGTCCAGGGTTCAGGGAGGCTTCCAGGACTCTTGGTGGGCAACCTGGACACCCTTTCATTCAAGGGGAGGGTAGCTTCACTGGCTTGCCTCCAGGCTGCCTGGACCCATGCCCACATCACCTTCTCTGGACAACCCAGCCCAGAGGAGTGGGTTTCTTCCCAGTATCCTGGGCCTGGAAACCCAGGGAGGGCCCATAGCTCCTGTGGTCTTGAATCGAGTAGGTAATGCCATATCCAAGGCCAGAGAACAAGGGGTGCTGGCTGGCACCTGGGTGAATGTCAGTGTCCACCCCTAGCCCCAAGGGTGTTGTCTGGGTTTGGAGAGGAAGGCTGATGCCCCTTTGGTCCTGTCCTCTGCCTATGATGCCTTTTAAGTCTAGGGTCCTTGGGTTTGGGGCCTGAAGTGGCAGGGAGAGGGCCTTTCTGGGCTAGGCCTGGTCACCAAGGGGTTAACTAGCTAGCCCCCACAGTTGCTGCCAGCCACCAATTAGTCTGTAATCTGGCAGCTGCCAACTGTCCCTGGGGGCATGTGGGTAGCCTAATGGGACATTCTCTGGTTGGGGGGGTGTGGGGGGTGTGGAATTAGGGAAAGGGTCCATGAAATCTGTGCTTAAACCAAGCACTGTGCCCTTCTGAACCTGTTTAGGGCCCACAGACCCCCTTCCTGCCGTAGGTGCCCAGGCTGCCTGGCTTAGGGACCTCCAGCCCTGGGGTTCGACACCTACTCAACCCTCTGCAGGGAATGAAGCTCAGAGTCAGGCAAACTTGACTTCAAACCCGGCCTCTGCCACTTCCCGGCTGTGTGCTATTGAGGGAATCACTTCCCCTCTAGGAGCCTCCTTCAGTAAAATAGACCCACCTTCCAGTTCTGCTGGGAGGAGTGATTGAAATGGTGGATCTGAGCTGCTTCGCACAGTGCCTGGCACTGCTGAACTCACTAACAACCCCCATGCCAAGGACTTGACGGGACAGGCAGGCAGAAGCCAGGTGTTGAGGATGCAGCCAGGACCAGGTTCCCTTCCCTCGGGGCATGTGGTTGTGGGCCAGGCGCTGTCTCTGTCTTAACTCTCATGTCTCCCTCCCTCCCTGCTCACAGACATTTCTGGTCTCGGACATTAATTGGATTTTCCTCTGCAGAGCCTAGGGCCAAGCTGCTACTTTCTAGGCTCCCCCTATCCCTAACCAGGTGCTAAGCTCTGTGGGGTCTCTCAGGGGTCTGGGTGAGGTCTGCAGCTGCAAGAGCAGCTGGCCCTTTAAGGAGGGAAGAAAACAATTATCTGGCCTGGGCATTGCATCAGCTGGAGCCTGGAGGGTCCCTGGGGAAGGGGGGGGGGCAGGCTGGTGGTTGATTTCATTAGTGCCATGTGAGAACTCTCACCCGAGTCTGCCCGCTCCCCAGCTGCAGCCTCCTCCCCCAGGCAACGGCAGCCCCAGCCCCAAAGCTCCCCCTACCCCACCCCAAGGGCTCTACTTTGGAGGACTCTGTGCACCCCCAGCCCATGTCTTAGACCCTGGGCAGAGAGGGGTGGGGAAGTGTCTCTCGCACTGGCTTTTGCTGACTTGGGGTGCAGGGTATACCTCCTGTACCAGCATTTTGCTGACAGTGGGGGTGTCTCCCCCGTTAGTGTTTGGCTGACGGGAAGAGGAGGGGTGTATTTCTCCTAGACTGGCATTTTGTTGACCCAGGGGAGGGGTGATTTCTACATGGGCCTCTCACTAACCCCGGAGCTGCCTTCGGCACTAGGGTTTTGCTGACCTGACAAGGAGCTGAGCTGCTTTGGGTGTGTGTGAACTGAAGGTATGGGTGAGAAACAGTTGCTCCCTGGTTGGAAGTGAGCTGGCTAGGGACAGTCACAGGGGCAGAGAGG